GGTTGGAGACCAGAACAACAACCACAGAGTCTGCAGCTCCTCTGAGCTTCAGAGTAAATTGAGTTTCTTCTGTCTGTTTTTGTTGTCCCCTGTCCTTGAGACAAGCAGGGACATGGAATACTCTCTACCATCCAGTTCGTCTCGTGAGCTGCAGAACCTGAAAAAGAAGTGAGGTACCGACCTCCATTCTTCATCTGAGGACATGTCTTGATTCATGCTCAACAATCCAGGTAGAAAAAAATTAACAAAGTTAAGTCGGATCCTCTGGACGGTTTCTTTTTCTTTCATTCAAAAGACTTCATCAGTCTGAGGAGCCACATTAAGCTCAGTCTTATAAATAACACCTCATATTATAGAGGATCAACCAGTTTGATGGTGCTCAGATGGTTCCTGTAGTCCACCTTCTCCCCTGCCGTCTCCTCAAACTCCAACTAGTTTGAGCCAATCATGGCCAAACTTTTCAAAACATCCGGTTGCTTGCTCAATAACCCATAGATAAATCTAACAAAGTTAGGTCTTCAGGACGGATTCCTCTTGTTGAAACGTTTCATCTTTCATCCAAACGACTCCTTCAGTCTGAGGAGCCACAATAAACTCCGTCTTCTAAGCAGCACCTTCTCGTAGCGTCCATCCATCCGTCCTCAAAGAGACAGAGCGTCCTCAGAGACGCCACATCTCTACTACCGCTCCCTTCCTGTTCTGACACAGGAAGTTTATTTGTTATCCTTTCTCTGTGTGTGTTAAAATCTACAGCCTGGACCACCCTGACATATTCACTAATGATAATTAGTTCAGACTTTGTGCCTCTCAAAGAGTTCTTGATCGAAAGGCTTCACTTTGCCTTATCAACAGGGACTGATCATCATAGTGATGAGGGAAGGAAGACCTCAGTTGAGCAGAACTTTAAACACATTATTTTGTTGATGTAAAACAAGGTGTCACTCCTTAACAAAAGGGCCATTGTATTACCTTTAGAGAACTTTGAGAAGGGAGGTTATATTTACATTAAATTATACAGTTGGGATACTCCCACTGTAAGAAGCCCTCTGATTGGTTAAAAGTTAAGTGGGCAAGTCTTCTGGGTGTCAGGTAAACGGTGTTGACTCTGACTCAGTCCAGCTGAGAGATGGTGGACGTCCTGAACTTCTCAAACACTCTGTGAATGCCGGCCCGCCTGGTCCCTACAGTACATGGTCCTGGGGACAACAACCCTGCCTTCAGCATGGAACTCCAGCAAAGCCATCATATACGCTGTGGTAATGAGAAAAATGGACGCATATTCCGGTAGACCTTTCCTTCTGATGAAAGATACAGTGCCAACTGAGTTTAGATAATTTAATTCACAAATCTGATATAAACTTACCTAAAAAGAGCTAAGAACCTTAGTCCAAATTGAATCAAAACTCCTTCTCAAAGTCTCCAGATTTATGTCATTTACTTTCTAAAATAATACTATTGGTTGTTCATTAAGTGAGAAGCTCGATCATCTGGGAGAGACTCAGAGTAGAGCCGCTGCTTCTCCACGTCGAGAGGAGCCAGTTGAGGTGGCTTGGGCATCTGTTCAGGATGCCTTCTGGACGCCTCCCTGGTGAGGTGTTCCGGACACGTCCCACCGGAAGGAGGCCCAGAGGAAGACCCAGGACATGCTGGAGGGACTATGTTTCTCGGCTGGCCTGGGAACGCCTCGGGATTCCCCCGGAAGAGCTGGCCCAAGTGGCTGGGGAGAGGGAAGTCTGGGCCTCCCTACTTAGGCTGCTACCCCCGCGACCCGACCCCGGATAAGCGGAAGAAAATGGATGGATGGATGTTCATTAGTATTCCATATTTGCCTAAATTTCCATGTCATAATTCAAACTGAAAATAAACATTACAGAATTGTATTTAAATTACGGATTCTTCGTGTTTTTCTTCAAGGGACAGAAATTAAGTTCTCTACAAGAACTCGTGTTTATATGTTTGAGGTGAGGCCGGTCTAGGTTATGTTAGCGTAAATACTTGTTAACGGGTGCCCAGATCAGAAGTCCAATATCCTGTACATATCTCTACCCTTACATCATAGTGGATCAAACAGTTTGCTGGTGACAGCCAGAACTAGTGGTTCACATGCAAAAGGAGGACCATCAGCCTAACTGGTCATTAGTGCCCTGATGGTTGCTTCACAGCGGACTGAGTGAAGCAACAACACCATTGTAAGAGGGAGGACAGTTGGACACGGGAACCTCTGCCCCTGTTTAATGATGGATGGTTTCTTTTCACAAAGATGGGTTCCTTCACTCCTCTCTCAAACCATCGTTCTTCTCTATCAAGGATGTGCACATCTTCATCCATGAAAGAGAGTGACCACTGTCCTGCAGATGAGTGTACAGTCCTGGCCTGATGATGTTGCTCTTCTGTGCTGGACCATCCTTTTGGCCAGTGGCTTTTTAGTTTCCCTGCTGTAGAGCTGATCACAGCCCTCCTGACACTGAACAGCATGCACGATATTACCGGTACTCTGTTTGTACCGAGAGACTGGATCTTTGGGATGAACAAGTCTTTGCCATAGTGTATTCTGGGGTTTGAAAGCCACTGGGACATCATGTTTAGAAAATAAACATCTCTGTTGCTCTGAAACTCCTTTTTTCCAACATGAGGATTTTAGTTTAAAACTGTGGTATAAAAAGCAATGTATGATCTGCATTCCTTCAAGGAATGCTAGGCTTTAATTATCTGTTGTTTTTAAAACTTATTCTGTGACCTTTTCAGGACTTTATGTTACTGCTGATTAGGTGGGTTGGTGTAACATTCTGGTGGTTTAACAGTAAATTAAACTCAGTGTTTCCCACTCTTTGTCTTGGTGGTGTTTATGGCTTCTTTAAAGATCGGGATCGCTGGTAACTGCCAACAAATCAGTGGACAACCTGGACTACAGATCAAAGTGCTGACAGATGAGTCAGGGGGCTACCCGTGTAGTGTAGGGCCCTGAGCTTCTCGGTTCCATGCCTGGGCAGGGATGCAGCACTTGGTTCCCCAAAAACTGAAAACACACGTTGGAGCACCAAAATGTAAAACGCTCAAAATTAAATAAATAAATTATGAAATAAGAAAATTTTTCATTTATATTCTTTTATTTTATAATTGTGTTTTTCATGGCTTATTTATTTCATACTTGTGTTTTTCACAATAGCTTATTTATTTCATAATGCTGATCAAACATCAATCATTGAGTTAAAAAAACAAACAAACAGATGGCACCCTCTCTGAATGACAGCAAAATATCAGGGTTTACTGAAGAGCGTCAGAAATGTTGGTCAGTCACGAACAGCATCAACAACCTGACAGACTTCCCCCAAACTATTTTATCCTTATCTTATATAACAGGCTTGTTTTTCTCCCACCTGTCATGCACATACTGACGGTCAATTGACTTTACACCCAGATGTATGATTTCCGTGCACTTCCTGTAAAATAAACACGTTCTTTACTTTCCATGCAAGCTAACTTTGCTTGAAACTTCCCTTCCTTATTAGGTGATAAGACCCTCCACATTTTGGTGAGGAACAAACACAGTTCTCTGTCTAATAAAACAAAACTCTATAGAGTTCCCAACCATGGTCCTTGAGGAACGCCATCCTGCACGTTTTAGTTGCTTCCCTGCTCCAACACACCTGATTCAGTGATTTTATTATTTCCTCAAGTTCTGCCAAAGCCTAGGCACCCATTCATTCAAATCAGCTGTGTCAAAGCAGGGAAACAACTAAAACATGCAGAACTGGGTTCCTCGAGGACCAGGGTTGGGAACCACTGGGTCAGGGAAGTAACTAGTATATGGGTCAGGGGACTAACTGGTATATGGGTCAGTGGATTGACTGGTGTAGGGGTCAGGGGACTCTACCTGGCATATGGGTCAAGGGACTGACTGGTGTATGAATCAAAGTGCTAACTGGTGTAGGAGTCAGTGTACTAACTGGCATACAGATCAAGGGAATACCTGGAGTATGGATCAGAGTGGGAACTGACATGGTTCAGCAGGTTGATGTGCGTTTGTGTTATTATATTTACAGTTCTGTAAAATAAACAGAGCTGCTAATGTAGAAGTGAGCGCTACACATATAGTTAACTGATGTTGCTTCAAGGACTGTTTTTCTGTTGTGTTTGAGCAGTGCTCAACTCAAGTCTATCCACGTCCACTAAATCCAGTTCAGAGAGCCTCACCAGTAATACAGAACTTCAAGTAGTTAGTAAAATACTTGAAGAGTAGCTTTGTTTTTTTGTTTGTTTTTTTTGCAGAAAAAGGAAGCACAAACAGGAACATTCAAGATAATTCTCAAGTCATGAGCAGGCTTACATTCATAATACATTCAGTAAGAGTAGACCGTTACAATTTATCTGCATTCTCTCTACATTAATCTCTTTTTCAACTAAAACCCCCAGTATACTGCTGCGTACATCCATACGCAGAGGTACGCACGTACGTACGCAGAGGTACGTGCGTACCCCCCAAGGCATGTCCGTGCAAAGCTCAAATTTTTACGACCGCATACGCGTAAGTGGTGTCGCACAATAAACTGCCCAGCGACGGACTGTTTTGTATGCGACACCAATGTATTAAATTCCCCTTCTTCATCCCTGATCTGGCCTTTTCTTTTGTTTTTTTGCCAAGAGGCAGTGATCTCTTCCTCCTCCGTTGATGCCATGACTGAAATGGTGAGAAATGGAGGAATTTGTCATGAGCGAATTAAACTCATGTCCAGCGTGGCTGCAGGAGGGTCTGCAGATTTCCTGGTGGGCTGGTCTGATGTGTGGGCTGTTGAGCCAGCGCTCCCTGTTTTTCTTATTTTTTAGATCTTTTAATTAACAACATATAAACACAGAACACCGCTGCGGCGGAGGCTGCCAGCGCTCGATTTTTTTTCTTTTTCCCGACCTGTCAATCAATCCAGTAGGCGTGTCAGCAAATGACCAATCGGCGACCTCAATTTGTCCCGAAGGTAAACGCCCCTTGTCTGTGATGACAAGCTGCTTGGGGTGTACGCTGGAGTTTAATGACTGAACCCTCTGCGTACAGTACACGCGTACGTACGCGTGAACGGACATACGCGGCAGTATACTGGAGCCTAGCAGGGATCTGCAACCTTTACAATCAAATAAGCCATTTCACGCCTTCGTTCACTAAATTAAAAGTGATCAGAGCCGCAACAATCTGCCACAACTGTGATTATCAACTAGTGGTCCATGGGCCACTTTAAGCTTGTTGGAGGAGACGTTTGTGGCCATTAGGGGTGACATTATATAGCTAAAAATATCTAATAATTTATTTTTTTTACAATTTAAGACAAATAAAAAGACCAGATTTTTGTAGGGGGGCGGGGGAGAGTAGTTTTCTAATTAATAAAAACTATTAACTATGCAGACCTATGTTTTTTTTTAATTGTGGAAAAATTAATGAAGTATAGAAATAAAGCATCCAGTTAAAGTGAGTATGTTTTACTCCTTGTACATGTTCTAATATTCACATATTTGCAAAAGAAATGGCAGGAAAACTGCTAAAACTAGTCCTTTTAGCCGTTTGTATAACAACCAATAAAATTCAGTTTTATGTTAGTTTTGGTCAAAGCTTGAAAGAGCCACTGCAGAAGGACCGAAGAGCCGCATGTGGCTCCAGAGCCACAGGTTGCAGACCCCCGAACTAAAGTGTCTAAGAATGTGTAGCACACATTACTGAAAGTGCTTCTTTGTACTGATGAGTCAGTTTTCAACTAGTTCTGATCCAATACAATTGATAAATCATTGACATCACAACTTTATAAACAACTGCCTTAAAATTTTTCTCCATTAATAAATTTACTGTCTATATACATATTTAACACACTTAGTGACTAACCTAATCAAATATTACATTGACAGGAAAGGTCAAAAGAATAAATAAATGCTACGATAACCCAAAGCAGAAGTTCTAATGCACCCAACTTACTGTAGTGTCCTTAAACGTGTTGCCTGAACCGAGCCTGAATCCAGCCCATGGGAAACAGAGCAAAGACGTGCGCAGGTCCGAGTCCCTTCATGAGTTCATCGTGCAGATTGGAACAACAATGACCAGGATCACAGTACAGGTTGCAGCTACAATCAGAGCTCCAATTTTACAGACTTTAGCCCTCCTGAACTCTGCGTCCTTCTTGTTGAGCAGCGTGTCATAACCTGGCGTGTAGACGTCCTCCATCCAGTACTCCAGGCTGTTGGGGTTCAGGCACTCCTGAATCTGATCAAACAAACAGACGGCAGGAATAAAAAGAGCCAGGCTTTTCAGTTAATGTCAGAAAACATGCAGTGTTAGGTTTTATTAAAGGTCTGTCACAAAACACAACTGGAAGACTGAATAAAGGCTTAGTCTACTTTGAACACATGTAAGGTGGAGCTTTCAGTCTCCTCATCCACCTCTGCATGGTTTTTAATTTTTTAATTTTATTTTTGCCTTGGTGTTACATCCTGTTTAGCTTCAATGTTTGGGTTTCCAGCTTTAGCCTGATCAGTGACTGGCCAGCAGAGGTTAGCCAACAACATCTAAAGACAGGCTCTCTGTGTACTCGTCTGTTTCTGTCCCATTATTAATCTTTCTTTTCCTCTCACAGATGTGGAAAAAAACTCCAAAAAATATTACATTGACACAAGCATCTGGATCAGGAAGCATGAAACTCTTATGCTGGATGACAAAATATCATATGACAAAGAAAAAATCACAATAAAACTGTGAAAAATGTTCCTTTAGACATCAGTGGGGTTTAGTTATGTTGAGTGGTAAAACCCAGGATCTCCAGCTCTGATTTGACAGCAGAACCATCATTCAGAGTTCAAATGGGTCACTGAAAGTTGAACTTTCCATGACTGAACTGGTATTTTCACATCTTTAACTCTTTTTACACAACCACATGTTAACATGGAGGAGTTTCCTGATTTTAACACAGAATGTTTGACTCTAATGATGGTGTTAAGTGGGCCCAGTCAGCAAAGGTAGTGCAAAGGCCTATTATAATCAAGGTATTCATTATTCTTTAAACCTTTCCACATTAATTGTTGTTGGAAGGTCTAAACATGCACAAGAAGCCATGAAATAAAACTTATGATATATTTTTCTTTCTTTTTCTGAAAAGGTTTTGCTCTAGCGTTCAGTACCTGCAGGTCCAAAGCAGACAGTGGTTTTCTCCTTTCTCCTGCATCATGTCTGTACTCGGTGAAAGTCCAGGAAGGCTGGTTCTGCTTCCTGTCTGACAGGCTGCTGACCTTCATGTTCATGTACAGGTGGCTGTTTTTTGCACGAGCCTTGGTGGACTGGCTGAAAGTGTGTGGAACAAAGACCTGCTCAGTCAGATAAGGCTCCTTTGTTGGTTTTGTTGGCCGCTGGGTCTGAAATGTCTCATACTGACCTGGTCTCTCTGTCTGTAATTACAGAACATATAGGAAAACAGACATCATCAGAAACATTTTAATATTCAGCAATGTTGGCGTCTTCATATTCTCTCTACACTTTCTAAAATGCTTTGGAGAATTCATTAATTCTTCCTGTCATATATTAACCCAAGAAACAATTCAATTCAGTTTATTTTGAAACCTCCGAGTCACAACAGAAGTCGTCTCAGGGCTTCAGCAGAACCAGGCTGAAGACGAGCGGCCATTTGCTTCGACAGATAAACAAGAAGCTCAGGTTTCCCAAGATGTAGGTGGCTTTTATTTTTAAATTTAAACTTCATACTAAATTACAATTTGCCAATATTTAAAAATGTAATTGAAATGAAAACAGTCCAGTGTCCTGTCCAGTGAGTGCCCTGTCTACCGAAGTCTCCCCCGCTCCCGTTGAAAACTGCTGGCACTGACGTAGCGCTAAGCTAACGCCGTGCAATGCAGACACGCTAGCTAAAAAGTTGCAGAAGTAACGCTCCTTCTCCCTCACACTGAGCCGTTTCCTTCACCCCCTCCCCTGTGCAACACAGATGTGTGTGGCTGATGGACTGTGATGGCTGATTAACACCTCCACTACTTAAGGCTGAGTTGGACCATGAGTCAACATTGGACCATTGGTTGCCCCACAGTGAATTTACCAAAAACACTCTGAAGTAAATCTTTCCCTAGAGATAATGGTATAATCTGAACGTACTTGTCTCTTAACATTATCCTTGTGGTTATTCTCCAGACCTGAACTTTGTCCTCTCATGAGTTTCCTCTAAATGGTGTGTTTGAATCTGATTCTAAAAATAGCCCAGTACCTCTTTAATTTTCCGATGTTTGTCCTTGTATTCCCGCTCCTTGTTGTTGTTGTTGTCCTTGATTGTGTCTCCTGGATGGAAGGAGTGGGATTCAGCCCTCCAGTTGCATAGAGAGTTGGTGATGCTGTTGACCTTTGACTCAGTAGCACTGGTTTCCTCACTGAGTGAGCGAGATGACCTTCTGGTAAACATACTCCTCTTCAGAGCCTTAGTCCTAAGGCTGTCACTTTCATCTAACTGACCCCATTCTCCTGTATGGCCATTTTTTTTTTTGACATTGTGACCAGTAGTGTGGCACTGGAAAACATAAGGTGGGAGGGTGGTACTAGAATGTAGATGAGGGGAAGGGTGGGACTGATCTGGTGTGGCTGATGTCTTTCCTGTTTGTTCCTTCTTGGTTTCTGGCTCCTGGATCTTCTCATCCAGTTTGTTGAGCTTGGAGAGAACCTGGGACATGTCACTGTGAACTCCGGTCAGAGATTCAAGTTTCTTCTCAATCTCACCAATCCTCATCACCAGCTTCCACACACTCAGTTTCAGCTCATCATCTGGGTTTTCCAGAGAATGGAAGAGGTGGTCCAACTTGGATTTGGCTAGTCTGACTGTGTTGTGTTCAGGTGAGCTGTCGTCTTCAGACTTCAGAGTTACCTGAGAGAGAGACCCATTACTGTTGTGACACGATGACTGGACAATGCCCAGAGAGTCACAAACACTCATATCATCCAGAAAACGAAAAATGTCACTGATGTTATCACTTATGATCTCAGAGTCCTCTTCAGTGTGCTTCAGGGGGTGTCTTTCTCTGTTACTGTACTTAGAAGGATAATCCCTCACCTTCTTCCTCTCAGCATGCTCAGTTTGAGTTCCAACACTAGACGAGATGTCTCCTTGAAATGATGCACTGTGCACAGTTTGGTCCCTAATCTTTTTGACTGCTCCTCTTTTGTCCAGACCTGTGGCTTCTCTCACCAAAGCAACACCATTTTTTAATCCATTACTTTTTGTTGCAATGCCAGACGAAGTTGCTACCTTGTCTTTTACACTGGCGAAATGCTGCTCATTGTTTGTACTGATAATGCTGATGTTTTCTTGGAGTGGTTTGCTGTTTGAATACAATCTCTCAGAGTCTGGTGGGCTCTCCTCTGTGTTCAGACTCTTGAAGGACCACACTGGTTGCATCCATGATCTGTTCACGTGCTTCTTGCTGCTGACATGCTCAGACACACTGGTTGGACCAAAGTAGGTTGATGCCTGTAAGTCATCCAGGCTTTCGTGTTTCACCCTCAGTTTGTGATGAGGTGGTGATTTGAGTTCTGCGTCAAAGTAAGGGTTCCTGTATGGTATCTCAAAGCTGTGGTTGAAGAAGGTAGCAGGCTTGTGCAAGTCCCTCCTGTGGAAATTGTCAGCAACCTTACTATGCCTCGTATCATCATTGTTGGCAACCTACAAAAGATCAGGGAAAGCAAGGACTCGGTTACCTCTAGAAGCAAGGCTATTTAGTATTAAAACACAATAATTCTAAAGAGCCAGAGTGAACCAGAAATATGGAGTAGATTATACGACATTCACTATATAAAAACTAATGCTCTCAAATACAAACCTCGATTCAAAAAAATTCTGGACATGTTTTTAATCAATTTTTTTCTCATAAACTGTTTAAATTCGGGTTTAAAATAAATTTACAAACACAAGTTCACAGTAAATGTGAAAATGTCTTTCAAAATGTTTAAGGGTACCTGTGCAGCTCCAGCCTAAAATTTTCTTCTCTAATAACTAACAATAATTCAGGACTTCCTATTAGATGACAGAATACCAATGTTCTGATGTTTAAACTGCAGAAGACGTGGACAGATCATAAAAAAATGTTGAAGCTGCTGCCAGTCACTCGTTAGGGTCATCATGGTAACCACACACTGCGTCTGTCACTCCCTGACTGCATTCTTAATATGAGAGGCAGACAAAAACATGCAAAACTGTCCTCAAAGCTGTTTTTTCTTCCAAAATCCAAATCCAATTGTATACAGGGAAATTTGTTTAATTTCTTTGTGTTTTTTTCATCCCAGTTCTTGATTTGCTCTTTCTCTTCCAGCAGTGAAAGAACCCAAACAACACGATCACAACGCCTAGCTCTATCAGGAATTCTGAGCTCCGACCTTTGGTTCTGTAACATCCTACAACAGACATTTGCTTGAGAAAATTAAAGCATGTTGGAATTTTAGGCTGGAGCTGCATTGGCAGCCTTGAACTTCATCCTGATCCTCACCTGTGGTGAGAAGGCAGCAAAGTTGTGGAAGTCTTCCTTGAAGATGTCTCTCTTCTGAGAACAGGATCGAACAGAAAAGCCCTCAGGATGGGGACTGTGCTGCAGAGGCTCCTGATCAGAGGTGGACTTCATGGGATAGTAGGTGATCTGCGTTTCAGTGGGTCCTGAGGTTGGACTGCTGCTGTGGACCTGAGGCAGATGTGGTTTGTCTGCAAATGCTGCTTTGTTGAAGCGCAGAAAGAAGTTTGGATCTGATGTGGAAACAAGCGGGCAGTTTGTTTTCTCTGATGGTGTTGAACAGGAAGAAGCACCCTGAACATTGAGGTGCTGTTGGGGGTGCTGGCTATGATGTCCATCTGTAGGGAAATCCACGTGTTTATAACCAGCCCTCCTGTCATTGTCCTGAAGGTTACCAGACTCATTGTCAGATCTGCTCAGCTCCATGGACCGGTGTTTGGACATCTGGGCTCTGAGTACAGCTGAAAGCTGGTCTTTAGCTCTTTCCCCATTCACCTGAATCAAGTTGAACATGGTTACGATGTCAGCTGCTACCATCAGTTTCTTGGAATGCAGGTCCTCTGGGGAGTGATGCATTTTGTCCTTAAAGAGGCTGACTGGGAAGGCTGGGTCCAAGCAGGCAGTGTAGAACAGTAGGCTTCGGATCTTGGCCAGGTGGACCAGGTCAAAGCGGATACAAAGAAACCTGCACAAATCCTGGTAGGTCATAGTGCTGTGCCTAATGTCCAGCTCCTCCAGGATTTGACCCAGGATCAGGGAGCATTCAAGAAGAGGCTCCATGGCTGATATGGATCAGAAAGAGGTATACAAAAGACGTCTTATTTTAGCAGGAGCGCCAGGAATTGGTCCACATAGAAGGTCCTACCTCACCAGAAGCACCAGGAACAGGACTACAGAAGTTGTACCTCAACAAGGGCACCAGGAACAGGTTTACAGAAGTAGCACACCAGCTTCACACCTAAAATGAAAGAGCTCAGTCAGTACTCCGGATTTAGGGCAATTATTTTAAAACATGTTCAGTCACCTGCAAAACCTCTGAAGAAGAAATCTTATTCTGAATATACAGACATTAGAACCTGCAGAACCTCTAAAGAACACATTGTATGATTTTATATATATATATATATATATATATATATATATATATATATATATGTATAAAACATGCACATTAAGCAAACATGTCCTAGATTGGATATGCAAGCATTAGAACACATAGAAACTCTAAAAAGCATGCCCTAGTCTGAATATACATTACAGACATTAAAACATGCAGAACCATTAAAGAACAAATGCTACTCTGGATAGACAGACAATAGGACCAGCAGAACCTCCGAAGAACACATCAAGTCAGGAAAAACAGACATTAGGACCTCCAGAACCTATAAAGTAGACATTCTAGTCTCTCTCTCTATATATACTGACATTAGAACCTGCAGAACCTTTCAAGAGCACATCCTACTCTGGATATACAGACATTAGAACCATCAGAACCCCCAAAGAACATGTCATAGTTTGGATTTGCATATCAGAACATGCAGAACCATTACAGAACTAAACCTATTTTGGAAATACAGATAATGGGACAAGCAGAACCTCTAAAGAACACAATCTGGTCTGGATAAACAAACATTAGAACCTGCAGAACCTTTAAATAATGCACTATGTTTGGATATACAGAAATTAAAACCTGCAGAA